AACGGCTTGCTCTTCTCTCAGCTCTTGGACCTCAGACGAAGAAGCTGATGTTCGCTTTTTTATCTTGCCAAAATATTGCTTCTTCGTGACTCCAAAGCTAACACCCTTGACACAACCAGGGTGGTTAGCAGTTCCTAATGCCCTAGCCAAGATATCCTCATCCTTAGGAAGGTTGCCCTGTGAGACTTCCTGAGAGATGGAATCCTGTGTAGAGTAAATATGATTAGTTTGGATATTCATTATTAGTTATTAAGTAGTAGATAAATATAATACTTACAATCTTTTCAGTAACCTCCTTCATGCGGGGGTTGTCAATAATTCCTTCTTTATTAGTGCGTGCCAATGCCCGGAGCTTATGGCGGGATATGGTAACCTCTGATCCCTCCTCCTCTAATTGTTTCTGCTCAATGCTTGCAACCCCAACCTCCCTGCTCTATAAGGATATTCGTTCTTCGCTACTCTCTCCTTATTCTGTGTACTTAATTCCTTGACGAGTTAATAACAAAAATTTTTGTTAGTACATACACATATAATCAATAAATAACACTAAACTTGAAATTTAAAAAACATTAATGTCTTGAATTCCTTCTCACGTTGTGAGGCAACAAAAGCATCCCAATCCTCTTGTTTTACCAAAGGCTGTAATAAGGGAGGAACTTGAGCTACAAATTCAGTATCAAAATCTTTCAAATATTTCTATGTGATGAAATATTTGAAAGACTGTAGTGCCCTCTCAGCCTTTTGTAGGACAAAATCTTGCCTACTCTCATCAATATCAAATCCTGACTGTAAAATAAAATAAACAACATATCATATGCATTAATTTTAAAAATAGTTTATACCAAAATATACTTAGTAAAATATAACTTACTGCTACAGTATCTCAAATAAGAGCCTTCGTGGCCTCATCTACTTTGTGCCATGATTTTACTGTGATAGGCACAGTAGTTTTTGCCACCACCCCAATATAACTTATGAATTTTGAGGATTTAATTGCTTGCCCTTTCTTGTTCCATTGCACATCAATTTTTTTTCCTGCAGCTCTTGTTTTTGTCACCTCTTCCATTATCGTTAGGCCCTGTTGAATGTTATTGTACTCCTGCTCTAGCTTTTTTTATGTACTCAAAACCTCAGTCGAATTTGTAGCTAGAATTGATGGAGGGGTATCAACAGACTCGCTATCAGAAGCCATTTAAAGGAAGACAATTAAATCAAACATTAAATAACTTAAACAAAATCCACATAATTAATTCAAACATTAATCAACTTAAATAAAAAGAAAACAATTAATCAACTTAAACAAAATCCACACAATTAATTCAAACATTAATTAATTTAAATAAAAAGAACACAATTAATCAACTTGAATAAAAAGTTTCATCATTCAAGTTCTCATAAAACTTAATTATACTCAATCAAGTTACCCAACAACAATTGATATAAAAATTTTATTCCAACAATTTATTTTGTCCTATAAATTTAATATAACTCAATCATTTCTAATCAAGTTATCCAACAACAAAATTAATCACCATCACCACAATAAGGGAAGCAAATTTTCAACAAATTCATATAATGCCCAACAGTAAATTAATTTTCATATAATCTTAAATTTAATTTCAGAACTAACAAAGAACTGAAAACAAAAGCATATATACATTCAATCACAAATTGTAGTTTTAATGAACAAAAAATTCATATTCCAATTGCTAATTCCAATCAACTCCCTAATTACAATCAATTGACAACAATATCACAAGGAAGAAGGATAGGCCAACTTACTTAAGAGAAGCAGAGCACGAGGACGAAGAAGAAGAGCAGGGGAAGGAGGAAAGAAGACAACTCACGTTTTGCATTGTTGAAAAGCAAATTTGAATTCAGATTTACCCTAAATACTAAACCCAAAAATGAATTAAACAGATAAAGAAGAAATTAAACTTACATATGAAAGACGGAGAACGAACCCAAAATGCCCGAAATGAAGACTTGGATGAACGAACAACCCATAAACCCTAAAAAAATGGAACCCACGAGCAAAACCCAAGAAGAATCAAGTCTAAATCTATGTTTTTGGGTAGTTTTAGTGACGGAACATGATTTTCGAGCACTCTAGGTGTGCTCGAAAACATTCAAGTTGCAGAAATGTGAAAATAAAAGGTTCTGGAGCGTAAATTTAAAAGGTAATACTTGACGGTTATTTCATAATAACCGTCAAGTATCCATTACTTGACGCTTGTTTTTAAATAACCGTCAAATACAATTCAGACATACTTGACGGTTATTAGTAAACAAGCGTCAAGTAATTAATTTTTTTATTTTTCCTTTTGAACCATATATTTGACGTTTTTTTACAAATAACCGTCAAAAAGACAATACTTAACGGTTATTTCGTAATAACCATCAAGTATTTATTACTTGACGCTTGTTATAAAACAACCATCAAATAAAATGCAGACATACTTGACGGTTATTAGTAAACAAGCGTCAAGTAATTAATTTTTTTATTTTTCCTTTTAAACCATATATTTGACGCTTTTTTACAAATAACCGTCAAGTATTTCAAAATATACTTGACAGTTATTAGAAAAAAAACATCAAATATATTTATAAAAAAATCAAATCTGAGATGCATATATATTTGACGATTATACCAATATAACCATCAAATATATACTAAATACTTGACAGTTTTTTTAAAACAACCGTCAAGTATTTAGCACTTTTTTTATTTGTCATTTTTTACTTATAACCATCAAATATAAGCCGTCATATTTAGCTTTTTCTGTTGTAGTGTTTTTTAATGTATATACACATTGCAAACTAATTTTTTAAGATGAGCTATTTTTTGATTTGCAATTATAATTATATGATATAATATCTAGCTATACATAAAATAATTACTAAAAAGAAATGGGAAAAAGGCCCTCGGGGTAGAGGCACCGAAACGTTCAAATCTAATATAGTAGCAAGAAAATAAAAGGGAGAATCGCATTTAGTTTCCTCAAGAGGGGAAAAATTGCATTAAAGACCCAATGTATTTTAAATTTACTCTGCAAGCTCAAGGGTTCATATTGCAAATATGTTTGAGGGAGAAAAGATCCAAAAAATTCACAAATTTGTTACTTTATTTTTTCAGAAAAGAGGTTCAATGACAATAAGTAAAAGTTTTGATTTGCACAACTACATATTTACATATTAATAACAAAAGATTCACATATCAACTAGTCTGAGTTCAAATATTTTCAAGTAAAAATCTATATATTCACAAGTAAAGGTTCATATACTCACATGTGAACATTTAATATAAGCAAGTAAACTATCACAATTTTACAACAAATAATCCACTATCAATTTAAAATTTAGCAAACAAGTCGAGCTATATCAATTTGACAAAGAAGATGAAGCTTGAACCAAAGGGAGCATTCTTTTCTTGATTGGTGCATCTAAAACACTAGCATTTGAAAAGATTGGTCATTGAGAAGTGTTTGAATGTTCTTTATGGAGTAATTTAGTTTCTTTAGATCTTATTGATGTAGAACAAGGAAGGAAAATAAAGGGATTAGTAAAGAAAAGGGAGAGAAGAAAAAAACTATAGAGAAAAAAGAAAAACTCAAAGAAAAAACAAGATAATAATAATTCTTATCCAATCAAATACGTCTCTATAAAACAAATGAACTAAGGTGCTATTTATAAGTCTCAACCTTAACTTTAAAATCAAATGCAAGAAATTATTAAAATTTTAAAATCAAATGAAAAGATCGATAACAATAATTCAAATATTATGATAATTAAAATAAAATATATCTAATTAATAAAATATTCAAACAAAATATTTTCAATCTTCCAATCTTCTTAAATCGTCAGTAGCTTTAATTATTTCTTTTTTCTTTTTCTTCCCATTGCTTGTTCTTTAGACAAATTGCAACATTGAAAAATCAAAATAGAGTATCAACACAACACCATTGGACAAAACAAAAAACACAGAGAAGGGAGAGCAAAGAAGAAGAAGGAGGAGGAGAGAGAAAAATGAGTCGGTGTTGAAAGAAGAGGGAGAAGGAAGATACATGGAGAAGTGGAGAGAGGAAAGAAATGAGAGGGGTAATTGGGCCTTTTCTTCCTCAAACATATTTGCATTATAAGGGCTCTCAAACTTGAAGAGTAAATTCAAAATGTATTAGGTCTTTAATGCAATTTTTTGTTTCCCTCTTGAGGCCCTTAGATGCGATTTTCCCATAATAAAACGGCCGGGTTGAAGGATGTTAACGTGAAGATTGGCATGAAATTAAAGTCGAAAGGAAAGGACAGAGCAGGGCAGAACGTGAGAAATATGGATGATTTTCTTGGCCCGATGGTCACGGAACTCCCAGCTTAGGTCTGAGGTACATATGCAAACACGACAAAAGGCGGCTGCTAATTAATAATATAGGCCACAAGAGCTAAGTGACACAACCAGCCTCCACCATTCATGCGGACGCGAAAGAAATAAGGGATCAAGTAAAAAGGTGACGTTCCATTGTCTGTTTTTTTTTTAAACGGACTGACTTGTTAATATCGTTGTCATTATATATAAAGTCGTCATTTTGAGATCAACCAACAAAATCACAGATCAATATATATAAACGGTGGGGATCTGTGTCTTGATCAAACGTGAATCGTGTGACCTTAATCAATTTTAAAGACATAGTGGCGTATGCAAATGTAAATGCAAGCTGATGTCATAATCACCAATTTATCATGCACGATCGCTGCTGATTATTCAGCATCATAGTGGTGATGGATGATTCCATTAAAGCACTTGCGTTTCCATCTTCAAGTCTATCTAGCACCTTCAGTACGCTAGCATATCGATTGGTATGTATCTCTCTCTCATATGTCCTGCCTCTTTGTTTTTGTAAGTGGCCAATATCCTTCTTTTTAGTAAAGAATAAAAAGCAAAATTATATGCTTTGAAGTTCACCTCCATATATTAATACACGAAGTCTTAAAATATTGAAGCGGTTTACCCCCTGATTAATTATGTGTGATGCGTGGGTTAAATGCCGAGTCAGGGAAACTGGGCGTCTAGAATTGAGGAGGAGGGATTAATTATAGACTTGATGGGCCGAGCGTGCATAGGGGCCCAAAAGTCCTCGAAGTTATTAAGTGGAGACTGGGAGCTGGGGGTATAGCCTAGAGACGAGTGAAAAAAACACCATGAAAGGAGCTCCGTCTGCGTGCTCTGCGAATTACGTGCCTTTGACGCCCATCATTTTCTTGGAACGAGCGGCCACTGTTTACGCTGATCAAGTGTCCGTCGTCTACGGTGATGTCAGATTTTCATGGAAGGAAACCCACGCAAGATGCCTCAGGCTCGCTTCTGCTCTGGTCGACCTGGGGGTTAACCCCCTCGATATTGTAAGTTCATTCATTTCCTTCTTTCATCTCTCTTAATTCCTCTTGCTTCTTCTCTACTCCCTCCCTATCACCAGGCCTGCCCTATACCTTTCACATGGACCATCCTTATGTTTTTATCTATCTGCTTACTGCTTATGTTTATAGCGCCCCCTCAAGTTTAGCTTTTTAATTATATATATATATATATATATATCTGTGTGTGTGTGCCCGCCGCTGATGGAAACTGGTGGAAATATGAGTGCCACTGAACGTGTGCATTAACTAGGCTAGCTAGTTTTAATATGCATATATGATATATACACACACGCTAAAGGGCTTAGGGTTTTGTTAATTAGCTGGGACCGTAATTTATATAGATATCAGATACGATCACAGAGCTCCATTTTGCATTTCATACATGCTTCCTGCGCATAATTTGGATTCATGAACCTGGAAACCCGAATGCATAATGGAGTAGCGCAAACATAGAATAAAATTTTCCTGAGAAACAGGCGTTAATTCGTGCACTGACATGCACGGTTTTAGAGTCATCGTGTAGAGATGGCGTTGGTTGGAGGGAAAAAAGATAGTGTATAAAAGTAGTAATTGAAAAGATTTGGCAGCGGGAGGTATGTCGGTGATGAGATCTGAAAGGAAGAAGCTAGATTAAATGCAAGAATGGAGGAAAGCGCGTACACGTATGAGCCAAAGACATTAGCTGAGAAAACACGTTGCGGATATTTTATAATTGAGGTCTTTCGTTGACATCGTCTTTTTATTTGCCTGGTCTTCACCGCGGCTTACGGCACGCTGGCCAGATCCTTTGGAGTCAATGGTCTCCTCTACTCTAGTAGTTTCTCCTTTTCTTTTCCTTCTTCTCACATTCACACTTCTCTCCTTCATTATATTTCTTCGACTTTCATTTTCACCGCAATCTGCATCATACTCAATATTGACCTCAATTATGTGAAAAATGTTTTTTTTTTAAAAAGTAACTTATATGAAATTAACATGCAAGCAATCAATTAAGTAGTAGCTGTTTCTCTTCATATATGCCACCTCAGGCTATATATATGAGAATAACATGCGCTTATCAATCAGTCTCTTTTTCAGTCCTCATTAAATAGTTTGTATTGCGTGAAAGATTAGGGCAACACAAAGCACTAATATGATAGGATTTCTGCCTAGCTCAAAATTTGGTTATTTTCATAAAAAAAAATAAGTTAAACAATTCATAGTTTGATCTAGTTTTAATATAATCTAAAGATGAACAAGATCGAACTGGTCCAATAAGACTAAAAGACCGGTCTTAATCTTGTCTGGCATCTCACTTTCTTTTCCTTTCTCATCCATGAAAGGTAGCAATTTATCTCAATATAATAAACTCAATTAACATAATAAAATTATTTATAGTTATATAAAATTTGTCACAACAATAACAATTATAAATTTACAACAATCTCCAACAACAACAAAAAATATTTTAGTTACAATACAAATTATTCAAATTAAACAAAGTTCAACATGTCTAAAGTCCATTATACTAAATTAACAACAAATTTTATTAATAAAATAAGAAGATTGAGATTGGTTAATGTTAAAATTTTATTTAATATTTTTACAAGTATAAAACACAAAAAATACTAATTATTATAAATTAATTTATTGTAATAATAATTAATAAATTAATTATAATTATATTAAATAAATTTATTGAATCAGACAAAATTAAGTGGTTCAAATGTTTGATCTCTTATTCATTTCAACCTTAAAAAATAATTTGATATTTTTTATTTTTTTGATCTAAAAGAATAACTTTTATTTGAATCGGAAGAGATCCAGCTTGTCTCGAATTAGATTAAACCGCATTAAATTGAAGGATTTTTGTACAGTCATATAAAAGATGATTAGACCCCTCTCCCTATTTTACTTCGGTTGATCCGCCCCAAAGTGCAGAGCGCGTCACACCGTGTTGCACATGTCAGCCTGTATGCGTAAGCGCTTACGCTCTTGGATTAAATATATGAAACTGACAGACTGACTTTGGCCTTTTAAGATCTGAATCAAATCTAAATACATACGGTGATCAGAGCCATCCCCCCAACAGCCAAAAAACAACTACAAAAAGAAGAAAGAAAAACATAAACGGGAGAATCAATTGTCAATATCATTAGTCAGATTCATACGCTGAGAAAAACGTAAATTTGTTTTATATATATATATATATATATATTATTTCGGAGATAGTTATTTCAAGACGGAGTATCCGTCGGCAAGCATCCTTGATCATCTAGATTCTAGACACTAGACTGTGCAGCGCCTGAATGGACATAATTTCCCCAGCATGCATGATTCACACAGAATCACGTTTTTGGTTTCTCTCAAGAGTAGTTGTTGTTCGAAAGCATCTCTTGTTAAAACTCAACCGCCGGTCCATGTTTATCACGGGACATCATTTGCAATTATATATTGCTCTTGTTTTGTTCGAAAATATTTCCTCTCTCTTCTTACAACACTATTATAGATAGTAACATTTACACTAGTTTTGCAACCATGTAGATAAAATCGGTGAAGATAATTTGTCATTATCTACACAAGTTTTCCACCCGGTGTAAAAAAAAAAATTAAATAATTTATTCATTTTTTTGCTTAAAAATTAATATCTAAACCCTTTATATTTATAACCAATATAGATATCCATTTTATTTACATATGTTATAGTTATAGATATATTTGTAAAAAAAAATATTACATTCATTTCTTTTATTTACCCCCAGCCATGTTAGATTGAAATTTAATTATAACCTGCAATTCAATCAAAAACAGTCAAACAACCAAACAAATCCAATACAATCAAATATTGATCAATTGAAATGAATTATTAAACACTTACATTTTCTTTCACATAAAACTATAAAAGTACACAATTAAATATCAAATGAATTGTCAAACATGAACTACACAATCCTACACGACTATATTAATTTTTTCTACAACTACGTAACCCACTCTTTCAAAGGATGATTGTTATGATAGTCTAACAGGAATAGTCTCCAATATCTTTTAATTTCTTGGATTTCTGATTCAGGAAATGGAGAGGGATCACTGAACATCTGAAAAATAAACAAAATTAACTTTGCAATTTCCAAGTAAACAAAAAATAAACAACATTTAAAATTAGATTTACCTCTTCAGTGAACTCAATCAAGCCAACTGTGATAATATTATGTGTATGTTTCAACACATAAAAGCCACACAAGTTAGTAAGGGGTTGACGATAGCTTTATAGAATAGCACAACATTGTCAAAATTATATTAAAAAAAAACTCTATCATTAAAATTACACGGAATAAAAACATGCACATACTACTTACCTTCGGTGTTATCCACGTAAGATCCTTAACATCACGTGGGACCTTTCCTAATTGTATTGCTGGCCAATCCTTATAGCCTTACCATCAATATCATATAGCTAGTAACTTAATCACAAAGAATAATGTATTACAAGACTTATCAAATTAATACACTTAAACACACTTACTGCTCACAAGGCTGCTTTATTGTCTGGTTGAGTTTACGATATAAAGAGTATAAAAAGAGAATAGAATTGCTTTTCATTGAAAAGACTATCAATTACCAGTGTGTACTATCAAAAAATAAAGTCACTTAAGCAAGTATTTAATACCATTGCAAATATGAATAAATTAAAACATGTTTACTTACAGATTGAGAAATATGGCAAAGTAACACTCCTTACCACTTTCACTGAGTCGCTAATTCATATATTCCTCCTTTACTTCTTTAGTGTTCTCCTTATCATTAGTGAAACAAGGGTAAAGAAATCCATATTGTTTATCTTTGCTTGAGGAAACCAACAATTAATGCAAAAACCTTTAAAAATACAAACAAGTTAGTTTTAATAGTCAATTTGTTTAATTTCATTTAAATTTACAAGAAAACATGTACATTATCCCAACTTGAATATATGCCATAGTCAAGTCCGTATGAATGAGAATCTGACGTAGATCCTCATTCTCAACAAAGATTTGGTAGTCCTTTACTCTAGTAAGATCAGGAACTGCTTCAAAACGTTTAAGTGGAAATGATCCACCATATGCCATCAAGACAAAATGGTCCCACGAGCTTAGCTTAAACAACTTGGTCTTTCAACCCACTTTATCGATCGATAGGGTCTTCTTTTAAATTAAAAAAGTTAGTAAAATATGCTTAAATATAAATAATACATTATAATTAATTAATTTTGTTACTAAATTTTAAGGGTTCTTGACAAGTCTTTTCAGCCATAAGGTAAAAGTGCCCTTGGCATCTTTCACCGTTCTAACCTCATTAGTGGACAACAAAATGAGAGCATCATCAATTTTCACCTTTTCAATGATGACCTCGACAATATCTTCTTGGACTTCTTGAAAGTGGCATTTTGACCCCTCATGGATCCGACCCCCTGCCACTAAGCATCTCTTCGGATCCTCCACATACAAGAAGCATAGCTCATCAAGTTTAGGGGCCGCGTCATCCTTTAAAGGAATCAGAACAATGTTACTCCCTTTAGTGCTCGGATGATAAGCTGGAGAGTGGGACATCAGGACACTTGGATCCTTGTTCGTATTGGATAAGGAGGCGCAGCAAAAGATTAAAATTTTAAAGCCTCTATCCTAATATGGATAGAACGAACTCGTTTAAGTCAAGGTGGATAGAAGAATTACCATTTAATTCTTTGAATTTGGCGCATGTTCTCTTCAAGAGTTTGGATCTTAGGAGCTGACAACGTAGATTTGCTCTCTCTACTGATATTCACACCAACATTTCTTTAACTCGAACAGTGTGCTAGCGCTCCCAGTGTCTATTCTTTTTTGAACATTAGTTTTCCTCTCTATAGAGTATTTTGTGGCTCTTAAAGTGTTTTATCATCAAATTTTTTCTAACTCTCTATCTCTTTATAAAGCATGTCTCTATTTATATATATTGTATATGGATTAGGATTTTCGTCTTCCACTTAAAGA